ACTACTTTATTTGTGGTCCAATATTTGTTATTAATACTAATCTACTTACCAGCGTCAAATAATTTTTCTATCATTTCTATTTTTTTTATAAATCTGACTTTTTACCTGCCTACAGGAGGGGATTCAAAATGACAACTTTTTCAAAAAAAATTTACTTTTTCAACTTAAATTTAGAAAGTGTTCCGGAATGNATTTACTTTTTCAACTTAAATTTAGAAAGTGTTCCGGAATGTCTGACACTTTTATATATATCTTAAATTAAAGCTAATGTAATATACTTTATTATGAAAAAAAAAATTTCGAACTTTATTTTGTCTTCACGATGAGAATAGTTACCATATGCTATTTTTTTGTTAAAATTTTCGATTTTATATTTTACATTTTTAACTTTAAAATGTTATGACTTTTTGAAAAATGTATAGATCAATACAATTTTTTTATATGAAATAATATTCATATACTTCTTTCATTCGACATACTTTTTTTTTAAATCGGATCATATCCCTTAATACAGGGGGGGTTCAAATCTTTATAATGCATAAAGATAGTGGAACTTTTTCAACTTAATTTTTGAAAGTGTTCTAGAAATACTGACACGTTTATATATATCTTAAATTAAAGCTTATGTAATATATAATAGCTACCATAATCAAAAATATTCTGTATTTGTGTTAAAATTCTTGGTTTTGTATTTTATGTTATTATAAGGGGATTATATTGATTTTCATAAATATTATATCAATCTAATTGATATAGTATAAAAAGTTAAATATATTTAAATTATTTTGTTTAAAGTTTATTTTTCATAAAAGTATATAATTTAAAAAATTTGAACTTTTAACCTTTTTTTAGTTAAACTTGCAAGTTTAAAATTTATTTCATTAAATACAAAATTTTATGAAGATTTCAAAAATGATTTTGTTTAGATATATGGTATTAAAAACTAATATAATTATTATTAACAGTAATTTTATGAAAAAAGTTCAAAATTTCGTTGAAATTACTTATAATATTTTTTGTATTTATATGGTGATAAATCATTTTATATAGCTCTTGGTGTTTATAATTGAAATATTCAGAACTATTACTTATAGATATATTCCATAGTTTTTAACTAATTATTAATAATATCAAAAATTAGTGGTGATGGAAATCTCATTGGAGACTTGAATTTAACACGAAAAATTAAATATTAAAAGTATATTTAGAATCTGATGAAAATTCCTTGTAAAACATTTACATTCATTATTAACAACAATTTGGTTTCTGAAAAATTGTGTATGATGCCCTTCAATTTTTATACACATTTGCCACAAAAGTAATAACTACTTTATAATTTTGTATAAATTCTCCGAAAAAATTATAATACTAAATTATTAAATATCAATCTCACAAATAAAAATGTTTATTTGACAACACTAAATATTGATTTATAATTTGATAATAACTTAAGTTTTCAAGTAATACTAAATAATACAATGTTATATTAGCTTAAATATTTTTTATGAGTTATTATTAGAATAACGGAAGTAGAAAATAAAAAAAGTGGTATTTTTTGGTCATAAATAGAACACATGATTTTGGTAGTATAAAAATGTCTACAAAATATTTGATAAACAAAAAAAGTAATAGAATAAAGAATATGCTAAATCGCTCCCTAAAAAATTCTCTTCCCTACTATTATAAAATCCCACGGACGTTTTCGTGCATTAACCTTATTTTTATCTCTACAGTTATACAAATATGGCAGAAGTTAGTACTCCAAACATTTATTTTACATTATTGTTATGTAGAAAGAGTTGCAACCCATTTATGTTCCAGTAAACACTATACAACAAAAACAGATTTTAATGATATACAAAGTAAATTATTGTGTTCATGTTTACAATATTTCTTCACCTACTTTAATGACGTTTATCTTGTAATGTTCCCACTGGAAACTATAAAAATGGGAAATCTTGTGTAAACAAACTGCACTTGGATCGCTTAGAATTTTACTTTTGGTTTGTATATGTAGTACGATCATTCTGATAAAAAGAAATATTTCCAAAAGGATGTGCAGTAACTGAAATAGTCTTTATAATGTCGCAATTTTTTTTTTCGCACTTTACAATGTTTTTAACAGTAATTTTTAACTGCCGACTGGTTGCTCAACAAAGTATTAAATTGGATGATTTTATCGGTGGCAACTTAACAAACAACAAATTTGATACTAATGATGCAGCTGTTGACACTCAGTACGCTTCGTGTAAAATTATTACGGATCGCATTGTAGCCACCGCCGAAGGGAAATTTTCTAGGTTCTGTCATGGAATCTGTAATATCAGTAAGTACAAAAAAATATTTTAAAGCTTGAATTATATAAATTTATCATTATTAACAACTGTTAATGACGTTTTTAGACGAAACCAATAGTAAACTCAGTCAAATTGAATCATTGCTATCAAACAATTTTGATGAAATAAAACAACGAATATTACTAATAGAAAAATATTTTTCTAATGGCAATCATTATATCAACTTAAACAAGTAATAAACATTTGTTTAATGATGCTTAAGTTGACATATCAATTTATTTACTTGATTGAAGTAACATATAGCATTCCCGTTATACAAATACACGATTTTTAAATCATTTTTGTGGCTTTTGAGTTAAATATTTTTCAGTTTTAATTAATATTGTAAACAATATTAGCCACAAGTGATCAATTATTTTTGTATAATATAAAGCGAATAAGAATTATACATTTCTGAATTAAGAATTTGGAGTGTTTAATTGATAAAAGGCAATCACACACTTTAGTATTATATACAGTATTTTAAAGGTTAAAAAATGTATTAGACATTTTTATCAAAAACCTTGTTGGCACGCTAATAAATAATAATTGCTTAAATAAAATAAGTCCATTACAGAAATTATTCAAATCGTATTATGTAAATATATTCATGTTATAAGATTCAAATAATTTTGTTATCATAAATAAAGATGTATACAGAGCGTCCCCAATGTTTTGACATGATTATTAACTTTTGAACTAATAAATATTTTTTTTAAGTTTTTTTTTTTATAATTTTTTAAATTTTGGACTATGTTTAAAACTAACCTTTTTATTATTTGTATCTTCTAGGATAAAAAGTTGTATATATATTTTCTTTTTCTATTTATTTATTTTCTTTTTGTCTAAAACTGTAAAAATTATTTTTTTAAAGAGTAGCTAACTCCAAATATTTGCGGAATCAAAGGTTATTAAAGATCGACTTATATATAGTTATATCAAAATTTAATTGAATTAGTAATTATGTTGTGCATCAACAGGAACTTTCAAAACCGCATAACTCTAAACATATTTATTTATCTATACTACTTTTAAATATTTAACAAAACATTTTTTTGCTATATAAACAAATTTATTTTATATAATCGCATCTCATGTTTTGTATTTATTGTAAACATCTGACAAACGTTTATGATAAAAATCCATAACCTTAAACTTGATCTGAACAGAGATGTGAATCAAATTACTCTCATTATTTATCAGTATGCAGAACAATTATTAAAGACCAATAGCAGATAAATAGCACGTTGATCATTTCACAATTGTATTAATGTATATTGCAACATTTGTTACAAACAATCTTGTATTTTCTTTTGTTTTAATAAGTCGTCAAGATAACTCTATTTTATTAGTAATTTAGTTTCGATAAAAATATTGAAACGTATTATTTAATATTTTTAACTATATATTTTTATAATTACTAATTAGTAATAGAATTGTTTATAAACATTAAATTTTTTGATCAATAAAAATAGTAATGATTCTAATTATATAACTTTTTGCATTTCTGGTTTCTATCAGGCGTTTGTTTGTTAAATATTTTTAAATAATACTAATTTGAAATTACCGTCGGTAGGACTATTTCATTGGTGCAACAAGAACACAATTTTTGGGGCCACTAAATTCAATTTTCTTCTACCTTAAACAATTTATCAAATAGTAATATGATTTTTTTTTTCTAAATTTTTGAGAGGCTATAATATGGTTTATATGACCTAAATGATAAATAATAAATTCATTCAAACATGAAATTTACTTCTTTAAGTTAATTTTGCTCTAAAAGTAATTATCAATATACTCTACTTAAACCATAAAACACATTAAGGTTTTAAAAAATATTTTTTTTTTGGAACGATTCATAAAATTTTAATGTATGTTATTATATTAAAAATATACTTAATAGGGATATATAAACGCAATTTAAATTAAAATTTAAGAAAAGTGGTCCAATTTAATTTACTAATCCTTTTCTTAAAATAATTTTGTGTAACTGGATATGGAGCTAGTGTGGGCTTGAGAAGCTAAGCCTCAAAGTTTAATAAAGTATACTTATTGTGATTTAATAACATATTTAAACCGAGGTAATAAATGAATATATTGAAAAATCTCTGTAAAATATTATGGTGTATAATTTTTCCAAAAGTCTTCTTAGGTTATTCTTATGTATGTTACGCAATTTTCAAGTAACTCCGTTAACTTCGGTGCGAAGCTAAGAATGATGGTTAGAGAAGGTTTACCATAATATAATTATATTATTATAATTATTCCATAGTATAATTTTTATTCCTGTTTATGGAAACTCTTAGCTTTCACAAGACCAATTTTATTGGTCTATGCGTCAAATAACCCAATTTAATTTAATTAAACCCGTTATCGCCAAAAATTGGAAAAACCTTCAACTTTATAAATTTAGAAAAATGTTTTAAAATTACACCACCAAAAAAATGTATTTTCTGCATTTTAAATTGTTATAAATAAAAAAATATATAAACCCTAATAAAATTCATATTTTATTCATATAGGCAATTCTAGAGACAAAAAGCTTTCTTTTAGTATGGTTTTTCTGAAAATCCAATGAAAACCTCTAGGCTTAGTAACATTTGTAAGGGATCAACCCTTGTATAATATTTTTCTTCAGTTCGGTTTTTGAAAATGTTCTGGCAATTGTAAGAAAATATCTGGCAATTTTTAATTTATATTAGATTAAAACTTTAAAGTGTGCTAAAATATTAAAAAAAAAATTTTTCATGATAGTTCTACTATAACTGTTAAAGAATTTAAGAATTCCGCAATTTTTCCAAAAAAACTTACTTTATTTTCAATTTTTGTTACGGTATATCTTATAAATTGAAGCCTATACTAAATTTAAGTTCTTCACACTACATTATTATTAAAAAAATTAAGGCGTTTCGACGGTTTATCTATTTTGAAAAAATAATCACAAAAAAGAAAATTTCCATTAGTTATTGATATTATGTATTATTTTGGTTTTAATATTCATCAGACTATTTTTCCATAAGTAGCGTGCGTAATTAGTTTGATAATAATTAACAATATATTGACATTAATGTACTATTTCAACAAAAAATTTAACAATTAAAATTTCAATATTAAATCACTGTCAGATATCTTGTGTTTATACTTATCTCAATTTTTCAGCGATATGACTATGCTGAATTTTTCTTTATGGTTTAAGTTATTTATTTTTATAATTTTCAAATATTTTTATAGACATTCTTTGGCGGAGAATTCGTGTGATCATAGAAGACAATTGGAAGTTGATAAATACAACAGCACCGTTTTCTTAGATAACCAAAAACAAAGAACTTTCGTTTATTATTGGAAGGTACGACATTTTTGGAGAATAGTTTTCGTTGATTCGTTTGCACATAGCCCACCGTTTTATATTTCTACACGTAGTTATCGTCTACAATTAAGCATCGAGTCTAATGTAACAGCTCACACGATTCTTGTAACTGCCGCACTAGTTCAGGGTGAGTACAACGCTAACTTGACATGGCCTTTTAGTACCCGTTTACGACTTAGCGTACTTGACCAGACAGACGTTCGACCAGAAGATATTGTATCCTATGAAAGATACGACACTGGAGTCTATGATCAACCTAAAGGAGATGAGAGAAAAACCATCTGTTCATCAATAGAATTTCATCGTGACGTTCTAGCTTATCGCCAATACGTTGTTGATGATAACTTGCTGGTCAAACTCACGGTGTTTTCATAATTATAGAGTTCGCTTCAATGACGAGAAAAACCCATTATCAGTATTTTAAATTTAGAATAAGATTAGTACATTAAAATAATTATTTTTGTGTGTCAACATTTTTAAAAATTTAATGAAAGTCAGCTACAAATTTAAATTCAGGTAAATTATAATTCACTAAACATAAATCATTCAATTACTCGAAAAATAAAAATAATATTGAGAATTTATTTATCACTTTTTAATAACATCCAATTATTGGTTAATCATATTGACATTTTTTTTAGGTCCATGTATTACGGCTTATTAGGTAATCAACTATTTTATCTTACACTTAATACTATAATTTTATCATAGAAAATTGTGAAATTTTACAAAAAAAATAAAAATGTATTTTTGATAAGAATAAATTATATCACGTCATATTTTAAGTTATGATAACTATGATTTCAAGTAATAAAATTATCTTACTTTGTATTAGAATATGTAATAAGTTACCTTTTAACTCTTTCAGATCCGATTTTCCATTTTTAGTTAAAATTACTCAAAATCTTGTTGCTTACATAATTTAGCATTTTTTGTGCTGGAAACATTGTTTTAATTTTAAAATTACTATTATAAATTAAAACAACAAAAGAAAAAAAAATATGGGTACACAATTTTGTTCGTAGGATCTGGAAGGGTTAAGTTACTATACAATTGGTTGGTATATTGTTGATCACTAAATTTCCCCTAAAACAATAATATTATGAAATTTTTTTTGTATATTATCATTTATTTCTCAACTTATAGGTATTTAAATATATTTTTTAGGTCTATTCCTTTTAAAGGTACTAACTTAATTTATTTTTTTTGTGGCAAAAATGCTGCCAATTTTCTATAGAACAACACTTATATACAATAGTGAATGATCTAATTAAAAAAATAACTGGTTGACAAGAAATTTTAAATCATTATCTCTGAAGCTATAAGCATTTTAAAATGTAGACTAAAAATAAGTGTCAGTTATCTTATTATATACTACAAGGGACTTACTTTTTTGGTACCTTTTTAGTAGAATATTTGGTGATGAAATATGTAATATTTAATCGAGTTAAACATAATTTACCAGTGCGGTTTATAGAAATAAAATAGAGAAGCAAGGTATTAATTAAATACACCATGACATAAACTTTGCACATAAACATTCCATTACTTATATAACCAAATATGCTCAATAAATAGTATTGGATAATAATTTTGTAAGGAAATTTAACGATATACCAAAGTCTGAGTACGATATTTAACTAAGTGGAAACATTAGCTTATCAAAATTAAAAACAGGATTTGACTTTTAACTATAAATTATGCAGTGTTGGGAAAGTTCCTTTTTAAATGGAACTCGTTCCGTTCCCCGTTCATTTTCTAAAATATGAACTCGTTCCAGATCCTAGTTCTTTATATTAAGAAGGAACTTGTTCCAGATCCAGTTCCTCCAAAATAAGAACTCGTTCCACTCTTCGTTCCTTTTATGTAACCAAGTTATTTAAAAAATTGTGGCAATGAGATCATGATAACGGTCATCAATGATATATTAGTTAACAAGAAACGACGATAATATTCGGTGCATTATTTAATATATGTACACATATATTAAATATTTACTGTATACCTACATGTGATAATAACTCTATAGTCAATTGATTCATTTAAACAGCCTACGATCTCGGCTGGGTATATAGGGGACTTCCATTGTCAAAAGTCAACTAAAAATACCTTGATATTTTAATGTCTAGATACGAAGAAAACTACACTAAAACATGTTTATAAAAATTTTTAGGAACTGTAATTTCCGTTCACGTTCCTTAAAAAATGGAATTTGTTCATTTTCCTCGTTCCTTTATTTTAAAAGGAAGCAGTTCCTAGCTTCATTCCTTCAAAAAGAACTCGTTCCAGGAATCCAGTCCTTTTGGAACCAGTTCCTTCTCAACACTGAAATTATGACATTTAAGCATTAAATGAAAAAATCAAGATTTTATTTAAATAAATTTTGCATGGTCCAAATGTGTAGTCTAATTTTTGATAATACAAGAAGCTAAGTATTATTACTTGAGTTATTGATCGATTTTTATAAAGTTATATCGTTATTTGGGAAAAACTAATCATTATTTTTTTGACTAAGCTTTTTATAATATGATATATTTTTTTCATTAAGAATTGAAAAAAAAAACTTAAATATGAATCAAGGTGTAACTAATAAAAGACCTAATGTGTAGTTTAATCAAATAGCCCTTAAGTTATACTGAAAAATTATTATTATCACTTTCAACTTCTTCAATTTTGTATTTAAATAGGAAACAATTAAATAGAACAAAAATAAACACGTATTATAATGATGTCAATTTTAGATAAAAGATTAATATTTTATACACATACCAAATACAATACATATACTATAAAATTATTATTTATAAATAAAATAATTTATAACAATTTGTTTGACCTTTACAAATAAACCGATTACACAATATATAATACGTAATTTGTAAATACAATACACAGAGTGAACCAAATCTTATAAGACACTCATTATTTCAGAGGCTAGTAAGAATTTTTAATTTTTTTAAAGAGAAAAAATATTAGGTTTAAAAAATTCTATATTAAGTTGTAGTTAATTTTTTTTCAGTGATAAAAGGTCATAATTATGATTTTCTTAAATGAGAAACTTTATTACTATTTTTATATTACTATTTGATTTCATTAAAATGAATACACATTACAAGAATTTGAATATTATTTGGTTTCAATACTTTTAGTTACATTAATTATATTACATCGAGTAACTAATGTTAAAGTGTCGCGTTTAGTATTCTAATTTTATTTTCATTTAACCCCAAAGTTGGGGCGAATTCTAAGTTTAAAAAAAAATTCGATAATTTATTATTAAGTTAATAAAAAAAAATAAAATTTTGGTCACTTTAAACACATAAGATTTATGATTAGATGGTGTTAATTTTATCTTTAAATCTATTACGTTGTTATTTGCTATTGTGGCTTTAAATGGCTATTCAAACCTTAACGTTTCCATTTTGACTCACTTTCTCTTGTTTCAACTGTAATGCAATACAAACTGTTAAATTCGGCTGATGACATATACACTTATATATAGAAAATTAAGTACTCAATATATTTATTTTTTTTTTGGTCATTTTACCCTTAATGTAGCAGAAAATGAGTAATCGTCAAAAGATCATTAATTTTTACACTAATTGAAGCAATATCAGAAAAACATTTATCTTACTCTAGAATCATCTCAATAAGGACGAAAGAATTATTTAATTAAAATTCTCCCTTCAATAGAAAATCAAATGGTCTACAAATTCGATCATTTGTAATTTTTCCTAAATACAACAAATCTCGAGTAATTGTGAAATTTTAAAATACATTTTTAAGTATTGCGCGTTTACAGACTGCGTTATAGAAATATAACAAAAATTGGTTAATTAGCAAATATTATTTAATGCAAAATACAATTATAATCGTTTTCGTCACCTCATGAGTGATAATAATTTCATGATATCGCCAAAACCAATTTTCGAAATTGTCGCCGCCGACGGTCACACGTGTACAACGGACTCCGCTAGGTGCGCCACAAAACGATATAATTAATTGTAAAAATATAAGAAAACATGTTTCGGCCGATTACAAACTCTGTGGGATAAGTAGTTTTAGATATGTGATTAATATGTCAAATTAATGATTAATTAACTTTTTCTACATCCACACTTGTGGATAGATTTTAATAGAAGTAAAAAAACCGCATAGTTATATGACTAGAATAACAGATTGCGCAGATGGGGATGCAAAAAAGGGAGTGGATTCAGAAAGGATAGTCGTCTGCGTGAGAAAACGTGTAGTTGTCGACATCAACTTGGTCCGAAAATCGATTATTCCTTGTACTTGTTGGCCTATTGGGTGACGTGCAGCGCCATCGTATTACGATAACGCAGTGTAGTAATTAAACGTTAAAAATATATAAATATATAGTGTCATAATTCAATACACCAGTTATGGGACTGTGAAAAAACCATTCTATACTCGTGATCATTAGTAAGTAAATATTTATATTATTTACTTTAGTTATAATTGTTGTATAAACTGGACTATTTTACAACATTAATTAATTAAATGTAATCCAAAAACGCAATTGAGGACAAATTATGCATGATTATACTATTATCAGCTGTTCTTTTACAAAGATAAGTAATATGGTGTTGTGGGTACATTCTATTCCAAAAACTACATTTCAAAATTATACCGCGTATAGTTAAATGAAAATATTTATTAGAAAGAGAAAATTAAAATCGACTCCCTAATATGTTTAATTATAATGTATTTATTCTGTTTGAAGCACTTTAAATGTAAGAGGTAGAACTGAAATTTAAAAAAAAGTTGAGTTAAATACTCAATTGGACTAAAAATATATATTTCTATTTAACACAAAAAATGTTTGGAAAAAATTGTTGAAAATATATAAAAATCATAAGAAACAGATGTGTGAGTAATTACGTCCATGATTTTAAAATCACTACAAATATTTCAGAATAATACAAAATTAGATCATTTAAATTGCAGAAAATGGTAAAATCTGTGTTTATTTTAAACATCACATTTAAAAAATAAATTATCAAAGCATAGCTGCACTAAATTTAACGAATTCGATAAAAATAATATGAAAACAGTTAATAATAGTAAATTATTATTAATAGCGATCGCCATTATCAAATTATGAGTTTACGTGTGTACAATTTTATAACCAAATGTTTACAACGGACAATTAAAATTATTTATATTTAATCGGTCACAGCTTATAAATTAGTTAAATTAATAATTAATGAGTGTTTGAATCTTAAATCGTTGAGCTGAATAATTAGATGAATAGCCTATTAAAATAGCCTATTAAGTTTGCATATAAAATTTAAATAACTAAGTGTAAACCTAAAAAATACGCATCTGATAAACCTTGAAGGGGTAACAAAATTATTAGCCTTGTCAATATTCCATAAAACTAATTCCAAAGGTATGAGTGACATTTTCCATTAAACGGGAAACGCTTATAACCGTTAATCGTAAGGCTGATAGTCTCCACTCTTACAATCCCATAATAATGATAATAATATAGCTATTTTTGAAAACTAATGCAATATTTCGTTTAATGTACATTGAAAAGACTTTTTTTCTTTGCTCATAAATTTAGTAATATTTAAAAATATGACAAAAAAAATTTTTTTCTGCTTGCATCAATGCTTATAACATCCACTAAAAAACAATTCTGAATTCAACCCTGCATTTATTTATAAGTGAGAGTACATTGATTGAGAAATAAATAACTGAAACGTAAAATAAATGAGTATAATACTTTTATTACATAAATTATACAATTAAAATGTAGTATGTTTTTCTTGTTTAATTTTAAAACTGATACAGTCAGAATGTCACTTAAAACTTAAATTAGAGTGCTATTCACTAGTAATTTTTTACAGAATATAAGTACTTTCTTTTGTGTTCTCGTCATATTCGAATCCAAGATTGGTGTAGTTGATTTTAATAATGTCATCGATACTATTGACAATTAAATCACGTAAAAAATCAAGAAATGTGTATTCTTCGGTGGAGTTTTTATTATTTTCTAATTTTTCAGAATAATTTTTTTTCAAACGATTTTTGAGTGACACATCAGAAATTTTTTTATGACAAAGGTTCAATATAATGGTTTCTGAATCATTACTTAATAAAAAAAATAACACATTATTAAATTCTAGGTATGTATCTATAAATTGATCAGCGTTCAATGCTCGTCTGACTTCAATAGAGTTTAATTTATTCAATAAATCAATTAAACTATTCAAAATTGTTTTTTCAAAACTTGAATTTAATGAGTTCACGAAATTTAATGCGCTTAGAAAGCGTATTGATACTACCTTTACATGTTCAAAAGTTAATATAAATGTTTCCATACATTGTTTTTGAGTCTCGAAAGTTTTTTCATCTTTATTATACCACCATTCATAGTTCATAAAGGTTAATACGATACCAAGCCAGTGCAGAATTTTTGCGTACTCATAAGTTAACAATTGCGAAGCCTTTTTTATTTTGTCATAAGTATTATTTTCAGTAACAATATTCTCTTTGTTAGAATCAGTTATGAGTAAATCATTTGTTTCAAAGGATGTACCATTTTCGATATCATACCACTTGTATTCATGATTGAACGACCATTTTTCTGCCTTAAGAAGTGAATTCAATATATTAACAATGGTTGTCTGATCACATGATGCCGATAAAAAAATAGTGTACAAGATGAGTGACAATGCAATAATAGCGAACGATTTCATAATAATTGTAAATACACTGAACAAAGTTTCATACAAAATTTATTATTTTTATTAGAGAACTATTAAAAATGATACTATTTAACTGTTTTGTTAAAAATATTTTTTTAATCTTCAATTATTTATAATTTGACGTCATATTAATTTTAAGATAAATTAACTAAAAAATTAACTAAAACTTCTTCTTTTATTGTGTTTACTAAAGTATTTTAATACATTTTTATCATTTATTTATAAAAATTTTGACACTGAGTATTTTTTTATCGATTTAAATTATTGCTTTTAAATAATATAGTATAATCCATATATTTACACAATTATTAATATAATAATACCATATTATATCAATAATAGTGTATTATTAATAATATTTTGGTGTTTATTGAAAATATTTTTTTCACTAATGTTTAATTTTAAAAATAGTATAAGTTATAGTAATGTTAATTACTGTCAAATACTAGTCCCTACTGTGATGGTTTTAATGTAATATATTTTTCATTTATTTTATTATTTTATATCATATATTCTAACATGATTACTTGATGTAATGAGATTAGCTATTTTATTGAACAGGGGTTTGATAAATTTGATTGTGTGATCGTTTCACTAGACTTATACTCTTCTTGTTCGAATAAACCTTAAAGATTAATGGATTGTTGTAGCTTTTGCTCACACACAGCCTTCTTTGAAGCCTTACTAGATTAGTCTCTTAAAAAAGACAATAGTGTGTGTGAGTAAGGTAACCATGAATAAAAAATAACTAGATGTACAGTTATCACAGAAAAGTTAATAAAATAATTATATATGAATAATATTAATTATTATAATTATAATAATTATATTTTAATAATATTATAATATCTGTCAATAATTTGACTAGAACAATGTATAAAATATAAACTTATTTAATTTTTGATATTGTAAATGTGATAGCAATGAATAGAATTTATAGAATTAAAAATAAGAATGCATTTTTTTAAACTCCAAAATAGAAATTGGAGTACATTATTTCTTATGTGGAATTTTCCAAACACTCAAAATACAAAATTAAAAAAAAAACAGCACAGGGAGATCTTGGGAAAGTGTAGTAAAATAATATTAATATGAATTTCTTATCACGAGAGGAGACTACAGTAATGGGATCCTTGATATTTATTGAAGTTATTGAATCTAAATGAAATAAAAATCAAATGAGTTAAACATTTTTTTCTATCTCAAAAAGAATTAAGAAAAAATTCAGTACCACAGGTGTGAAAGACCCAAGTGTTATCGTCTCAGAAACCGTACGTCGCATTCGACACTTAATAAAAATGGAAATTTAGCTAATTCAAATTTTAAAGTTATTTTTCTCGACTTCAAAGAAACAAAATAATTTAAATATGTTTAACTTTTTATACTATGTCAATTAGATTTATATAATATTTATGAAAAATCAGTGTAATCCCCTTATAATAAAATAAAATACAAAACCAAGAATTTTAACAAAAAAATAGCATATTTTTGAATATGGTAACTATTTTCACCATGAAGACAAAATAAAGTCCAAAATTTTTTTTTAATATTAAAGTATATTACATTAGCTTTAACTTAAGATATATATAAAAGTGTCAGTATTTCCGGAACACTTTCAAAAATTAAGTTGAAAAAGTTCTACTTTCTTTGTGCATTTTAAAGATTTGAACCCCCCTGTATTAAGGGAAATGGTCCGATTTAAAAAAAAAGTATGTCGAATGAAAGAAATATATNTTATTTATGAAATTTGTTCATGGAAAAATAGTAAGCACCTTAAATAGTTTTTCAGAAATGACTTTATAATAACTTAAAATAACTTTTCAAAAAGTTATAACATTTTAAAGTTAAAAATGTAAAATATAAAATCGAGAATTTTAACACAAAAATAGCATACGATAGCCATTTTCATCGTGAAGACAAAATAAAGTCCGAAATTTTTTTTTTCATAATAAAGTATATTACATTAGCTTTAATTTAAAATATATATAAAAGTGTCAGACTTTCCAGAACACTTTCAAAATTTAAGTTGAAAAAGTAAATTTTTTGTGAAAAAGTTGTCATTTTGAATCCCCTCCTGTAGGCAGGTAAAAAGTCAGATTTATAAAAAAAATATACCAAATGATAGATAAAGACGTCATGCATCTATAACAACAACTTATATTGATATAATTATTATTGAAAAAATTAGCGATTTTTAAATTTGTAATTTTTTTGGAGGTTTTCCCCATTTACGCGGAACGAGGGAAATTTTTTCAATTTTTGAGGGTAATGTCTTCGACTAGATACAATTTGTGATCTTTTGATATATCGTCGAAAGAAATCGGTTCAACGAGAGCTGAGAAATGTGGTAACAGGCACAAAAAAAAAACACATCATAGTAAAATTTTTTAGCTTCGCATCGAAGCTAAAAGTTGGTTGCATGGTAATAATCTCAACTCTTGTGAGTTATACAACAGTCATAAGTAAATTAATTTAATTTAAGTAAAAATAAATTCTTTTTAGTTTTCGATAATGTAAAAGCAATATCAAAACGCTTTCTAGGTGCATTACAGTTCATGAACACTTTAGATTCAAGTGTTCAATTATATGTTCAAAAAAAAAGCTGGAAGGTCTCAGCTTCGCATCGAAGCTAAAAATATAAAAAAGAATTTTTTTACAATGATCTTGTTTTTTTATTAACTTTTATGTTAGTTTTCACTATGAAAA